TATTTAATCATTATTTTAAGAAATTTGTTGTATAAGTTATTACAGAAGTTTTTATAGTATATTAGATTGTTTTATAAAGGTTAATAACTTTATATTTTTAAAAAACAAATTTATCTTTCTTAAATAAATTTGGAATGATTCGAAATCAAACTTGAAAAATACATCTATTAACAGCACAGTGCATTTATAATTAAAATTTTTGAATAAGTTAAATATTCCTTATGATTTTATTTATTTTTCTTTTTAATTGTTGTTATTGAATAATTTAAAGATATTTTTTATATTGAACTCACATTTAATTTAAAAAATTTCATATTTTTCTTTACATATGTTCATAATTCACTTAATTTTTTGGTTTTCAAATTATCCTAATTTCACAATTAATATTAATCATGATTTGATTAATATATAAAAAAAGGCTAATTACAAAGGTATTGAAAAAAAAGTATGTTATTAATATATTTTATAAGTTTCTGTTTTTATAATACTAGTATAAATTAATTCAAGTACTATTTTATTACATAACAATATAATTGTGAACGCGAATGAAAAGTGAATTTAAATAATTCTGATTATCGGCGATCTCGCTTATATTGAAGAAAAAAATGCACAAAAAATTATTAATTTGATGAAGAATCTGTTGATATAATTTAGTAAAATACGAGAAAAAAAACTCCTGTTTAAAACGAGAACATGGAAAAACAAGTGAACGTTAGTAAGAGTGCGATATAGAGAAGAGAGAAGGGTGTTTACACCTAAGTAGATATCAAGAACTTACTTTCAATTTCGAAGTATTACAACATTGAGGAGAAAATATAGCTATGCCACCATCAATTCATATGTTTAAGTATGTGAATAAGCGTACTCATAGAATGAAATACTTAAAGGAAATTTCAATTGCAAGATTTAACTAACTCACATTTATGGTACGTCACATTCATATCGTTTTTCCTTTCTGTACTATAATATCGATAAGCCCAATGATTCTATTATAATCATTAATTTCATTTTAAAAAAAACTATTGCTATATTATATTTTGTTATTGTTTGTATGTTTCAATTAAGTTAGAACATTTTTTTATTTATAATTGTGGAATATACATTAAATACAATATGATTAATTTTTGATATTCCAAATTATTTTTCAGATATTGCAATACTATTATAGTTCTTAATATACATATATGTTATTCGATGAAAAAACATCATTTAAATTTTAATGAAGTACACTATGAAAATATGTGATATTCATAAATCATTTTTATTAAATTTGAAAACGTTGTTTAAAATTAGCAATCTTAAAGTTTCAGATTTTTGGATGATTTATTATTTTTTATAGAAAAGCATATTCTTACTTTTTCCAAATAGTTTGCAATATAAAAAGGTTTCAATTATAGATAAAATGTTACGTATAAGGTATGCGATAAAAATAAAATGTATATACAAATATTGTTGAATAGGCAAGGTTAAAATTTAGACAATTACGTATTAATTATCTCACATGATAAAAAGAAATATTGTACTAGATTCGTCGACATCAGTGTTATAAATAAATAAGATAATTCTAATTTGATTAGTTAAATTGAATGGTAATCACGGTTTAATATTTTTAAATACGTATATGTTATATTATTCTATTAATTTTTATGAAGTACATAAAATTTATTAAAATTAACAGTGGACTCTCTTTTATGTATTTTAAATAATTCAGACAATGTTCATGGTATAAAGCAATTTACATATTATAAAAGAATTATTTTTAATATCTAATATTTTCAAGAAAAATTTATCACATAAATATTATTTTTTATATTAATATAATTTAACCCGGCAAATTCGTTAATTAATGTTTATATTATTTATTTTTATAAAATTTTAAGTATTATTAAGTATCTCATATTCTAACCCGGCACTTTCCGATTCGAGTAGAAGAATAAAATTAATGTTGGACAAGTATGTTCTTAGATGAACTTTTAAAGGATTACTGCATAATTTCTCATATATATCATAATGCTGAGATCGTAACACGAGCTAGTAAAGCATCTGGCTGCAGGAGCTTCATCAACTGATTTGTACAATCAATATCTGAAGGTAAAGTTGTATACCGTTTATTTTCTAAATATTCTTCTAAAATTTTCGGAAATGTAAAATTATAATGAATAATTTTACGACCTCATTATAAAATTTGTATATGGTAATAACATTATTAGAGATAATACCGATTAAAAAATTTAATAAAATATTTTACTAACTTAATATTACAATAAAAGAAATATCTAGAAGCATATTTTATTCTGTAATTATAAAAGTATGAAATTTGTAAAGATTTTGACGATGATTTTATTTTATTTGTTTTTTGTATTATATTTATTCAATTTTTTATTTTTAAGTGTAAACCTAAACATTTTCAAAGTGCTATATTAAAAGTTTAAGGTGTAGTTATAGTATTATCGTTGAGCGTGTAATTTCATATTACCCCGTTAAATAATCATAATAACTAAGATTAGAGAATACAATAATTACCATACAATGCTTTACTTTAATCAGTGTTTGAACACGCGCATTAAAATTTTGATTTTGTCTCAATTTCACGAATATTTGTATTTTTTCCTCGTTCTTGTTAAATTATTAAATGTTGAGGTCACATATGGGCATTTAAAGTTTCTTATACGCTGCCTATTACACAATAAAGCAATACTTTTTAACATGCACAAACTCATTAATTTTTTCATGGAATTATTGACTGCAAGTGTTGAATGAAATATTAAGGATAATGCTATCCTACTTGAACAAAAAATTCTTAATTATAATTTTATAGGTTTAAACCTAATAAGTTTAGATCGTGGTGCATATGTTTAAAAAAGGCACATTATATTACTCGTTGTTAATAGTGTGTAATCATTTGAGTATATTAGCACATATTATGGGGACTTAATATGGATATACTAACGAGAGATTTATTACATTGGTATCACAACAAAAACAATACTAGGTCCAAAGCAAGTATGAGTACCTTCTAAAAAAATATTTTTATTGTTTTATACGAGAAAGTATGAACCTTAAAATAATAGTCAAACCAATAGTTTATAAAGGCTACATACAAATATAAAATTCTTTTATTTTACTATATCGATGCAATTACTTAATACTATTGTTATTAATGAACATATTAACAACTAATGTGATAATATGTGCTTTGAATTATTTGTTTATGTATTACGCTAATATATAGATGATATATCTAACTTGATTTAATATACACAATACATCAAATACCAAAAAGAGCTTTCAGCGATAATAATATAGTTCTAGGCGATTCTCTAATTATTAAACTACTAATATAATTAAATAATTCACGATTGAGCATATAAATGAGTAATTCTGGTACTAAATAAGTAGTGAATTATATATGAATAAAACTAATATCATCAATAAAATTAATATAATATTGATTTAATAAATTTTTTTAAACATAAATAAACATATCTAGAATAAAAACAAATAACTATATAATAATAAATGCATGTAAAATAAATATATGCAAAATAAATACTTTATTTTTCATATAAAATTATAAAAATACTATATATTAATTTATAAATGAACAATAATAAAATCAAAATAAATATATAAGTTATAAATTTATATTTGTGATAATCATAATTATACATAGAGATAAAATAAAAAATTTCAAGAAATAAAGTTTTTAAAATTCTATTCACATTGCAAAATAACATTAACACTCATTTTTTTAATATTCTTTCGTTTTTTAAATATTAAATTTAGTCCTTTGAGTAAACATTGAAGGAAATAATTAATTACAAATGCGTCATTTGTTTAGATATAATTTTTACTAATTTTTTATGTACATTACAAATATTAAAAGTAAAACTTTTATCCAGCAACTTTATCCATTATTCAAAGTGTATAAAATTATTTTAATGATTTTACTGTTAATCTGCTTTACAAAGTATGATGTTTCGTTTTACTAATACGAATGAAAAGTTTTGATATATTTTAAATAATAAATTATTATATACATTATATATATTTTTTTCATTTTCATTTATAGTTATATACCTGATTTTTTTATATAAATCTGGGTTTTTCAGTGTATATATTTTATATTTTATAATTAAACATATTATTTTGCTTTAGTTCCTTTAAAAATGTTTGCTTGCTTTTTCTATAACTCATTCCTTTTAAATTCTACAATATACTCAATATTTTTCTATTTTTTGCTTCGTTTTTTTAACCTTAGACTTTCTAAGAAATATAGATGGATAGGTTGGCGTACTTGAAGTTATAATGTATGGCTAGACGAGTATAAGTAATGTGGATATATAGGAAGTCAGTGCTATATTGTATCAAAACTCTAAGAAGAAAACTAAAAGAAAATTTATTTCTATTATGTCAAATATTATCTTTATATATTTTTTTTTTCAACATAACGCACTAATTAGAAGTGCAGTAACAGAATAAACAATATAATCAACAAATTAAATTTTCTCAATCTAATGAATCTATTACGATAAAAAATTTCATAAGAACTACAATAATAATCTATATCTAAGTATTAAATTATTATAAGTTATTATTATTAAAAGTTAGATAACAAAATTAACATGATAGGAATAGTTTTGCTTCAATTTTATTTATGAATATATTTGTACATATACCAAAGTTTTTTTATAATTATCTATTATATAAAAATTATTATGATCTTTTTCACAACGTGAATGTGATGGTGGGAATAATGTAAGAATTGAAGCAAAAATTATAAAATTTAAATATAGTTTAAATATTATATTTAATTTTGTTGTAATAATATGATATGAATATATATATATATATATATATATATCCTATTAACATAATATTTTTTATAATTATCCTAATAATTATATGATGATTTGAATTTTATTATTCTAAATTAATTAACATATAAATATATACTTAAACATAATTTAAAATAGAAATCATAATTTCTGTTTACTCACCTCATTGATGTCGGTTTTTAAGTCCTTGGTACTTTTAGCACTTCTTAGCTGATCACCACGATATTCTTTATATCTCATCAGTACTTCGTCATCTGTCAAAGTTCCACTATTACTCGTCATTGCATTCTTTTTATTTTTTTCTTCATTGGCTTTTTTTTCTTTTTTACGAAATAATTCCTTCACTTTACTCATTGTTCCACTTTTTTTAATTGATTTTTTTTCATACTTCTTTGCATCAGCTCCAGATGGTGGTTTTGATGTCACTGGCTGTATATTTTTACTTTCGTAATACATAACGTATTTATCGTAGCGACCCTTATCTATTACGTTTAAATTCATATTACAATCAGTATGTCGACGTTCTTGCTTTATAAATTCCATAGTAACAAAACCTTCATCCTCCGATTCAAAAGGCTCGCGCCTATCTGCTTCTTGCGAATCTCGTCTATAATCATTCTCGATTCCCGAATCTGCTAATCGATCTTTGCGATCGGTATCACATGTCATGGTCTCTCGATGACGTCTTTCTGTGTAGCCACGCATTTCATGATGTGGATGTCTAAATTTATTTTCGTGATTTACTCTTGGCGGTCTCTGTGGTATTTCATTAAATATTTCCGATCCTTCTTTAGTTAATTTACTTCTAGAACCCTCCCTTGCATTACTGTTATCAAGATAATCTAATCTATTTTCTGATACCCTTATTGGTTTCCTTGAGTTTTCTTCTATAATTTTTTGATTGTCCTTTCTGATATTATGCGATTCATTAGAATACATTGAGGTCTCACAAATAATAGAATCCCTTGCAGTAATATCTGCACGACTAGAACTGTAATTGTTACGATCAACATGCATACACGATGGTGAACTATCATAATCATCTTGAAAGTCAAGTTTATTGGATAAGTGTTTATTTGTTGTTCTTATTTCTGTATAATATTTGGATGATTCTAACTGGTTATTGGTAACTTGAGAAATATCAGTATCATACTCATCATTTAAACCTTGAAGATCATCCGGATGACATTTTACAAATGATAACCTTCCTTTGTAACCACTCGATGTTGAATTATCTAAAGCATTTATATAATCTGTAGAAGTAAGATTTTCATAAGATCTTGTGATATGCTTTTTTTCTAATAATCTTGGTGTTATATTATCGAGTTCGTCAAGTCTTTGAGTTGATTTACTTTTTCCCTTCATGATCTCTGTAGTTTTTTTTATTTTAGTTTGATTGGCATCTTTCTTTATTTTTGGACGGTAAACAATAAAATTGTCCTCGTTCTGTGAAAAAGAATAATCATCGCTGTCTCTTGTTATAATAGATGGTAACAATATTTCATTTTCTCTTGACTCCCTTATTAATTGTTCATCTATTGTATGAGTAGATGTCTTATCGGCTTCATTTAGCAACCTAGTTGATAGAAATGTTTGCATTTCTGGGCTTTTTGTACCTTGAGTGTTAAATACAGGGCTGAAATTTTCAGAACAATTACTATGTGTCCGCATTTCTATGATATACTTATCACCAAACTGGTCTGTATGTGTTTCTACTGTATATCCATCCTTCGATTGAGGATTTAGATATTTGTCAACAGGAATTTTATTGGTAATCTTTTTTTCATAACCATAAACTTTACCATTATCCTCATGAATTTCTTTTTTAAACATATACTTTTCACCATTACTATTCGTTCGTGTTTCACTGATATATGTATCTATACAACGCTTTGGTGATTCTACACGATTCGGAATTACAGGTGATGGCACGATCGGCTTATCAATAATTTCATGCTCAATTGTTTTAGGTAAATTGAGATTACTTTTTGCAGCAAATATTTCATCTGCAAGTAAACGCGACTTTATCCTTGATTCTAAAAGATCTCTTCGTGCACTTAAACCTGATGCTTTACTGCATTTAGATTGATCTTTAGTTAATCTGCTCTTTAATTCATTATTCTCTATGTGCCTCGAATTAGAACTATTTGCTTTTGCATAATTTAAAGTGTCAACAAATATACTTGAAGTATATTTTTCTGGTTTACTTAATAAATTTTTTTCCATATCATCAAAATTATGAAATCTTCTACGTTCTGCATTTCTTGCTATGAAGTTATTTGTTGAATTACCAAAATTTCCAAATTGTTTGGTCTTGGTTCTCTCATCATCATATAGCGACTTAAAACTGTTAAATTCGTTATTATGCTGCAATTCATCTGTATACAAATCTGTCCTATGATATTCCTTTTCAGCTGGACTATTTTCTCTTGATGAATCCTTTCTGTCTAATCCCAGACCCTCGTCACTGTCAGAATGGCTTCTCTGAGCTTTCTTTTTATCCAGTTGAACTTGAGCATAGATAACATCAGTTTGTAGGGATGGCATATTTGATTCATTTGGTCGAGTATAAGAAAAGGGTCTGTTATTATTATGACCAAATCCAGGTCCAGGTGTTATCATAGTTCTGGTCAATTGAGGTGGCGGTGAGCAATCATTGGACAATCGATTTATCATCTTGTGAATTGTTGATTCTTTACCAATTTGATCATATCTGCTACTGTGTAACATACTTTTATTAATATGATCGACCTTGTCAATGTCGACAGTTTTCTTATTCAACGAGGATAAACCACGTTTAGAAACGTGCGTTCCTACGTTTTCAATATGAATAGGTATAATTTTTATACGGGTCGAAACAACACTATTTGGAACACTATTATCATCGGTGCATTCTATTTTTCTTTCTGAATCTATTTTCTTCTCTTCTTGCTTTGATTTTTTTGCTTCATGAATGTTGTCAAAGTGAAACGATTGATCAAATATTTGAGGCGAAGATTCGATGATTGGTGAAAGTGGCTTCTTAGATCGTACTATATTTAAAAGTAAACCCTCACTGTCACTACCACTGCGTTTACGATGCGATTTGCTGGTATTATGTATGTGACTACCAACATCACTATAGCTCCTTCTGAGAAGCTTAGCAGATGTGAGTGGCCTTTGCTTTCTCTCTAACTTGGGCGAGAAGAGCTTGGAAATTGTCTGCTTAATTTTATATGAACCGGCATCGTTAGCATTCCACTCCAAGGCTTTCTTTTTAGCCTTTGGAGTACTAGCGAGTTCGTCAGCAATTGTAACACTGGCTTTTTCGTTGGGTCGATCGCTTAAGTTAGCATTAATATCAAAACTTTGCTTCGACTTACGCCTACGAGTAGGTAAACTGCTATATTTGTGATTGTAATTGTGAGCAAAGCAGTCAACACTGTCTACTTGTTGAAGAACACGGGCAGCTTCCTGCGCGAGATCTTCCTTATTACGTGCTTTGATATTTTCCTTTCTCAGTGGATTTTTTATCAATCCACATTCCACATTTCCAACGACAACCGTGGGAATGTTTGGCGAATCACGTCCTATAACATTAAAATAGAAAATTTATATTATTTTGTAATCCAATATTTTATATTAATGTGTATTTAATCATGATTTTATGCTATTCACCTTATTAGGTGTTAATATAGGTATTTAGTAGAATAGGTATTAATATTTTGAGTTAATTATTTTATTAATCAAAGATCTTTTAATAAATTGTACAAAAATCAAGAAGATCTCAATAATAATAGAAAAAAATTAAAAATTAAAATAAAAATCGTAATTAATTAATTTTTCAAATTTAATTTAATTTAATTTTATAGTTCCATTTTTAATTGAAATTAGTACATAAAATAAGAAGGTTTATCTATTAGTTACTCAAAATAGCTGTACAGTAGTTTTATTTAATATTATGAATCGATGAAAACACAAAAATTATATAGAAAATTAAATTATGAAAAATGAATTATATGAAAATAAGTAACCAAAAATTACGAAATGATTATTTTATGCACAATAACATAGTGACAGTTTGCCTTTTCATTTAATAATACAAATAAACTTCTTCGTTTATGTATACTAATTTTTAATTGAGTTTTTGAAGAAGATCCTCAAATGAGCGTATTGGATATACACAGAACTCTTTAACATAATAATTATCGAGGATTTTTATCTAATATATTTTTAAATAAATTATTATTAATATTGAAAAAATTTATATAGATATAAAAAAGTGGTTTACGATAATTATAATTATAAAGAATTATGGACTCCACTACTTTTATTTAATATTTTAATATATTTTTTTATATAAATTTTTCAATAAAAGTATAATAACAAAATACGAATATAATTACTAAAATCACATCTTAAATTAGAATTATTCGCATAAAGTAAAACTGTGCTTTTCATACGTCAATTTTTAAATAAATTTGTTGTATAATTTAAACATTAAAAATTTAATTAAAATAAAAATATTTTGTATCTTTTACTATAGCTCGGCTATAAGCTTATTTACTTATAATCTATATACTTTATTATTATAAATAGTACTATAAAATATTAAATTCCTTTACTGTAAAAGTAATATTTTAAAACTAATATTTTTTTAACATTTACAATGTTTTTAAAAATATCAGGATTTTTTAAATTATCAATAAAAATATCATTTTTTTAAAAAACAGGATAACATTAAATAAATAGATTTCACATTTCAACGTACGTACCAGTAACGTGTTTTAAAATAAGCATTCGTTTGCGACTGGAAAGATCGTCAATATACACATATATATATTTATTTACGAAACACTTTAATAAATTAATAAAAAATGTAATGCTTTGTATAAAAATTTATATATTCAAAAGTGATTTTGTATGTTCACATATGAATGTGTGTGAATTTATATATATATATATATATATATATATATATATATATATATATATATATGAATATATAAAGTAAACATTCGGTCTCTTGCTTGAAACTATACTTATTTTTACGTATTATTTATTTTTCTCAATAAAATAACGTATTGAGTAAATATTAAGATTAAGATATTAATATTAATTTATTCTAATCGATATTTCATAAAAGTTTACAAAATGAATTACTTTCATAAAATTTTTTTATTATTCAGCTTATTCTTTTCCATAAATATTCCGTTGTAATTAAATTTTACAAAAATTTATTTAGTTTTTGTTTTATACATGTTTATCACTAATTTACCACTTTTAAAAGAATATTTACTGTAGTACTTATGTAATTTTACTTTCTATTTTTTTTATAAATTCTAAAAAGAATCAAAGTATTTGATATTTAAAAGTTAATCATTAAAATTTATATGAGTGAAAGTATATATTATCTTAAATAGAGGTATGATCAAAGTATATTTCTTACATTATTATACTTCTTATATTTCTTATATTATTATACTTCTTATGTTTATTATATTATTATATTTCTTATATTTATTATAATATTATACTTCTTATATTTATTATAATATTATACTTCATATATTTCTTAATATTATACTTCGTTTATTATATTATTATATTTCTTATATTTATTATAATATTATACTTCATATATTTCTTATATAATTATAATGTATATAAGATTAGCAAATTTACAATTACGATTTCCTAAAATCAAATTAAATTTATATTATACTAGTGAATATTATATTTCTGCGGGAGTTTGTTAAATGAAGATAAATGCATGTTAAATAAAAATGTTTTTCGTGATGAAATACCTATAACGATATATCAAACACACCAATGACTATTAATAAATAAGAAATTACTATAAAAAATTATAAATATATTTTGTTTTTAATTTTCAAGGATATATTATAACTATCTTTAAATTATAACAAAGAAAAAATATACTTACAAAATTAATTTATAAATATTTGTGATTTATAAGAAAATTGTTGTAGTGCATAAAAATATTTTTTAAATTATCAGATAACTATATTAAATTATTAAATTAAAAAGTTATCGATTAAAATAACAAATAAAAAAAGAACATGAATAAAAAATTTAATTTACTGGATTAAAATGGCTTTAAAGAAAAAAATTATACAGTCGTTTATGAATCATTTTTACAATTTGTTGAAAATAATTATAGTAAAATCAGGAAAATGGATTTTAAAAACCTCATATTTTTATGTAGGTTGATAAAAATAATCGACTTTTGAAACGAACGTAACATCTTACAATATATATTTCGCGAGCTACTCATTTGCATAAAGTCCAGGAATTGAACGGGAAGCAGCCTGTTTACTTGAATTAACTTGCGTGACGTTCAAACTAAAATGTCGGTTCTCAACTTTTATATTCATTGTTCACTTCTTCGTGAACCAGATTCTCTCTATACTTTTCTGTTCATTCTACTCATCATTATTACATAATGCTGTAATGTCTTTAAACTAATTGCTGGTTTTATGCTTTTATGCATTGTAACGAACCAGTGAAAAATAACAAAATCAATCCCTTACTCTTGTTGTGATATTTTATTTAAAATTTATTATTTATAATTTATATTTATTATTTATAATTTTGTAATTAAATTAACACTAGTATTATTGCAAGATTCTCTTCTTCAAACATTTACTTTCTTAATGGTGCTAAATATTTTTTTTATCTTATAACTCATTGATACTTAATGAATGGTAAGTACTTTATTTCATATATTATTATTTAACCTGATATTAGAATATTAATTGTCGACTTAATGAAAAAACAAGTTTATCAAATCATATACTAAGATTTTTAAAAAATTATAAAAATTGAAGAGAACTCGCTTGAGGATATAAATTTTTCGAGTTGTATGTAAGGCACAATAGTGTTGTTATTATTAATTATAATTTCTATCAAAAAAGCAAACAAAACAATGTATACAGTAAATAAATCATAAATAAATTTGCAGAATGTTCAGTTAATCGTTTCTTAATTTTTGTTCTTATCTTTGTCATTCATTAATTTGCATAAAACATATAAATCTAAAATAGTTTTTAAATGGCGAGAATAGTAGCTTTGAGAATCAATTATTTTGCTCTTATGTGAAGTTCCAAAGCGATTCTGCTTGTATATTATCCATTAGAAGAGTATAATTATGAAGGGGGCAACAATCGATCGTTTACGTCAGCCACTTAACGTTATAATACATAGCATCAATTTCTTCATAAAAATACCATATAAATTTAACCATGGAAGAGAAACAAAGAGCCCAATGAATATAATACTGTTCTAATATTTAATGGTGCCTATATACAGTCTAGTGAATTTTTTCTTCTTTGTTCTACTAAATATTTCGACAGTTATCTAATATTTTTTAAAAATATAATGAAATTTTATACATATAAATTATTCTACGTGATATGAAAGATAGTGAATAGAAATTACCATGTATTTTCGCACATATATATATATACACGTATGTCTCAAAAGGTGAATATCCTAAAATCTACATTGTTACTGCGTATGTATAATTTTAATCAGATTGATAGACAGTAAGATGGGTATTTTACACATTTATGTGAAAGGTAACTTTATATCTAAGAGTGCATTAATGAACGAAATCGATATTAATTTTATAAGATATGCAAATGCAAATGTATATTCATTTATGGAACTGCGCATGTGTTTAACTTATAAATATTTGTGCATAAATAAAATTTAAATTAGTTTTCATATCTATGGTTTAATTGACTAGAGTTTAATTAATACATCTATAATAAAATATCAAATATCAAATGTTAATCAGTCGTACCAATTTTATATTTGAAAATAAACTTTAAAATTTATTATAAAAATAAATAAAATACTTATAAAAATGAGTAAAAAGCAGTATGTATTATGACAAAATAAAGAACCTAATAAAATAAATACGAAAAACTTAATTTTCTATAAAAATATGAAAAATTATGTCTTCTTGATTTTATTGAAATTTATCATATCATATTTTATTAGGATCTGTATGCATCAATATTATGTATAATAGTTTATTTTGAATTACTTAAAGAAAACTTTGTATATATCTATTAACTAACATGAAATTGCTATCATATGTACAAAATGATTTTTAAAAGTTATTTACTTAATATTTATTGAATCTAATATTCAAGACATATCAAGAAAATCAAGATAACCTTGATTGTTAGAGTCTATTTAAAAAAAATACAAACTGAAAATAATTGTATTCATATTGTAAATTATAAAAATATTATTTATAAAAGGTACTATAAATTAAATGTATACTGGGAACTAAATTTTTACTTATAAAAATGTATTATTTAACTGCTCAAAGTTACTTGTACAATAGTTTATTTTTAGACTGTAATTTATTCAATTATGAGTTTAATAAGCTCGAAAAATTGTTAATACATACTTACATGCTTTGTATCAATAATAGTATTAATATTTTTATTGAAATTTATAAATTAAAAAAGAAGACAAGTTAATTAAAAAATTATGAATAGTGCATGTTAGAACTATTTTTATTTTAAATTATTGGTCATGTTAATAATTTTTTATTTATAATCATTCATAAAAAATTTGTTGGTGTTACTAATTTAAATGAAAATAATAAATTAAACTGAGTTAAATTTTGTTTTTATTTTATGAACATAAAAAATTATGCTCCGTGAATTAAGTAAAAATAAATAATTAATTAAAATACTAGAAATATAGGCTTCTAAATGTTATTTCCCCAGTTGCTAACTTTTTATAAAAGAATCTTTATTGTATATAATGTTAATTTTATATGTAATTATAACAAACAAAAAACATCTGATGTCTAATCTATTTTCTTACCTTTTCCTTCCCATATTAATACTATATTAATTATAATAATAATACTGAATTAATTAATAATAATACTAAACTTTTATTTTTTCTATAAATGAGGTTCTAATCACAAAGGCATGAATAAATGCAATTGTAACAAAATGAAAGTTGGAGTAACTAATTTATGGAAGTGAATAATCGCAATCGACGTGTAAAATAGAATGAATAGGTAACAGAAAAATAACTAGAAAGATCATATATGCATATGTTATCATATAAGTTATTGTAAATAGTGAAAATAACAAAAATAGTGGAAGAAAGGATAAAAGAGTCGAATAAGAAAAGAAAGTTCGGCGAGTGGCTATCAGAATGAGATTGCAATGCGATTTAATTGAACATAAATCGTTCATAAGATCCCGTGTAGACTCACTATTGCTCTTACTACGTACAGCTCTCCGTGATTTTAAATCGACTATCTTATGAGCTATCTCTCTGCCATTGCCTCGGTCAAGAGAAACAGTAAGCCTGGGGAGGGGGTTGTTACTTCTCTTGCTTTCCGGACCACTCGTGCTCTCACATCCACCTACCTTTCGCGCTTTTCTCTCTGCACACAAACTTTTAATTCGTTAGCTCGCATTCAACACAAAAACGGTGTTGTATCAATAGCAGCATGAGCAACAGGAACCTGTAAGAAAGTCTTGAACTTTGTTTATCTATGTACTTATATATAAGTAGAAGTGTGTGTGTGTGTGTGTGTGTGTTTGTTTGTTTGTGTGTGTGTGTGTGTGTGTGTGTGTGTGTGTGTGTGTGTGTGAGAGAGAGAGAGAGAGATTTCCCGACTTATATTCACATAAGTTTAAAAGAATCCTGATACACAATTGTTTCAATACGAAAAGCATTTTATCGTTTTGCAATTATTAATTCTTAATTGATCATTTTATATGTTGAAAAAATAAAAAGTAAACTGAAATCTATGATTATAATTCATACTGATCCTCAGTACGTCATTAAATTAGAACGTCATTAACATAATTAGTGTTATGATATAGAATTAATCTATTATACGCATCGAGTATTTTTATTTAACTGTTGACATTAAAAAAATATATACTGAAACTATATAAGAACAAAATTCAAATATTTTAGTAGATTCTGTAAATCACAATATTTATTTTGCATAGTAATTGAATTTTGCATAAGTTTAATATAAAAACTGAATACCGCATAAATGACAATTAATTCAGTTTTTTATAAAGTCTTTAAATTAATATAATTTTTATGTGATTGAAATAATGTCTTGTAAAATTCATAAAATTTTTAATAAAACAATAGTTTCACGAGTATGTAGATTTTATATACGTTAGAATTATGCTTCTATCGTCTATAATATTATTAATTTAGGATTTTAAATTCTCAAATTTTTTATAGGCAATTTATTTAACAGAGTGTGAACAAAGAATAATTTAATGCTTTATTCTCAGAATCCTTATGCTCTCTAAGTTATCGTGAAAATGAAATCGTTATTGACTTGTATCAATAATATAGATATATATAAATTTAAAAAAAAAAAAATATATATATATATATATTGTCAATCACAAATCACGAAAAATATCTTATTTTAAGACTAAATATATCTCCAATATATAACCGACTTTTAAGTCCTGTAATAGTGATAATTTATATAATAATAATGTAAAATTAAAAGCCTAACAAAACTTAATATTAAATATTTTTAATTTTAATTAAAATAATAAATTTTATTTGAAAATATGTTCTTAATTGACAATTAATTATAGTTACTTTATAAAAATTCATATTGACATGAGATTTACACTGTATTTGATCAAATGGATTTGATTAGATATTAATTTAAAGATCAAAATAAAAATAACTTTAATTATTAATTAAAGTCATTATTATGATTAATAATAAACTGCTTATTAATTATTAGGAACAATCTAAATTATAGAAAAGAAAATTTTAAATTTTAGATTAAGTATATATAATTTTTATGTATTTATATTATAGAATACAAAAATCATTATGTTATTTAAATGAAAATAATTAATGTATAAATAAAATTTGATTGTATTTCATTAAAAATGTATTAAATTAATTTTGTTAAATGTACAAAATATTATAATCTCAATTATTTTTTATAAAATGTTTCTAAATATATATATATGAATACCCTTATTAGTTATTTTTCACAATACATTGACCTTTAAAGAGAATGCTCTTGTATGCAGAATGTTTCTATATGCGGAAAGAAAAATAATTGAATTTGTTCGGAAAAAACACTATTTCATTAATAAACTAGTTTCTATGCATGCCTACATATCTTTTTTAAAAGTCACAATTAATATAAAAAATTCCCTGAAAGTCTTTTGATCTCTTTAAATAATAAAATTATATGATTTATTTATATGGCATAATTGACATAATTTTGAATTTAATTTAAAAAACGATATTTAAACGTCATGTATAATTTGTCTAGTCTTCAAAAAAATTAAATTAATTTTATTATATGAATTTGTTTTATCAAATTCAATGGTAATTTATTTATTTATTGCTAAACAAAATTTAAACATTTGCAGTTAAAATTTCAATTTTGTCCTTATCACTATTGTCTGTTAAAAATTTAAAATCCATGACACCATTCATAATGATAAAATAAGCAATAATGATTACTACTATAATCATAAGAATATTATATTTTATAAAAGAGTATATTGAAAAGGGAAATCACCATACTTGCTTAATTATAATCACTATAATTGCTGTATCTATAATACATTATAATTTAATACTATTCGGGATATAATAATTATTATAAATATTTTTTATTATTTTTCTTTGTTTGAAATAGAATATTTAAAATACATATATATATATATATATACTAAAAATAATTTAATTTCGCCTTGTTACATGAATACTTCTACATTGAAATACATACATTAATATTTATTATAAAATATATATTATTATATCAATTTTATAAAATGTTCTTGTAAAAATTATAAACTGTACTTCACAGTATTTGTACGATAATATTATTAAATAAACTAGTTTTTAATTTTTTGATACAAATTTTTTATTTTCTGCATTTCAAATATTCAGCTAACAAAGGAAATAGTAAAATGTGTACAGAATACAGCATTTAAATGTGTAAAAAATATAACACTCAGTTAAAAATAAAGTATAAATAAGTGCATGGAAAATAAAAAAAGAAGATGCTTGATAAGAAATTTTGGTTTTTACACGATAATACCTCATGATTATAATTTCTCTCGTTCCTATAATTTTCATTCATTATTCTCATTTAAATGCAAGAATTATTTACAAATAAATAAAGTAAATTAAGCAAAGAAACTTTCAAATTTCTATTTGGTCTTATATAATTACTTAGTTTTATAATAGTATTTTATATTGTGTAAATAATATTTTATGTGATATACATAAATAAATATATTCATTTATATAAATTCATATAATTCTTTAAATCAATATTAAAACAATTTCTTAATTTAAGGAATTAAACTAAAATTATAAAATTGTATATATATAATAATTTCATTATTAAACACATATATTTTTATTACATATTTAGTTTTATTAAAAAATGTTCTAAAGTTTGTAGTAAATTTTCATTACCAAACTAATTACTTTTTAAACATAATAATATTCGTTTGCATTTTAATCTCCAAAATTAATTAATTTACCAAAACCAATTAATTATCAATTAAAACCAATTAATTAGTAATTAGTTAATTTAACGAATTCAAATTCAATTATATTTAAAGTTTTTATAAATATAATCAATTTAAAAATTTAATTTAATTTATTTTCAATTAAAAACATATATTACTATATTGCTTAATTATATTATAATAAATGAACATAGTCATCTAAATTATATAAAAATTTGAATAAAATTATAATTCTTACTTTTAATTAATAAAAATTATTTTTGTCTTAGAATATAATATCATGTATCAGTCTAATTTTGGAATTATTTTATATATGCCATTGAAGTTGTATTAGCTGTATGCAAAGGGATTCACAGCATATGCTCATAAAATCTGATGTACTTATGTCACTATAAAATAATACATAAATACTGTATGCTAAGTAATGGCAACAGTGTGGTAATAAAGAGCATCCATACAATTACTTTGTTTTACTGCACATTGATTTTACCAGCTGCCGTTATATTCACGTAAATTGCTTAGTCACTGTATATTAGCATGGTTACGAAACTGTATTTGAATATGTGCAGACACATTTTATTATTTCTACCCTCTCTGATCTCTTATCTAAGCTATCTACCGACCACACACATACGTGCTTACTTGACACTTGTCAGGTACTATTGATAAATTCTCTCTCTCTCTCTCTTCTTCATTTTCTTCTTTTTCACAATAAATTGACCTTCTCCATACTCTAGAAATTACTTAATATCTGATTTATTTATTTTCCATATTTTTCCATATTACAATCCATTTTTTAATACTTGCTAAAACTATATTTTATGTACTGAATATTGGTTAGATTATCATTACAATTTCCAATATGCGCCATTTTGTATAAAATAGATACATCTTTTTATTTGTTCAGATTTGTAATAGTAGTTTTTATTTGTTAAACTATACAAATTTTATATACTTCGATTAATCATTGAAACAGAAAATAAGCTAGTAATATATTACCTTACATAATTTTACTCATGATGATTTTAAAATCATAAGATTACAACGTAAACTATAAAATAAAATGAACTATAAGATAAATTAAAATACAAAAATTTAAATGATTAAAGATATTAAAAATATATGATTAAATATAATAACATGTTTTTGTGATTCCAAATGCTCAAAAATATTGAAAACTTATATTGTTTAATGGCCTCTACTACATTATTATTAATTATTATTAGACCAAATATATGATTATAACTAAATAATTTGTTAACAGTTATTTAGATTTTATTATAACCACATTGAGAGAGAAAGAGGAACTACCTTAAAATATATTTTAATTCAATCAAATTTCATTCTTCCTTAGTAACTTATTAATTAAGTAATTGGAACATTTGCATTCCTTTTATAACCTTTTATTCTAACTATTGCATATACTTATATTAAAATTAAATTAAATTAAAATAAAAAAATAAAATTTAAAAATCACAATTTAAAGGTGAAATCTATGTTTATTTATTAAAATTGATATAATTACATATAAAAATTAATTTTATAAAAATAATTTATAATATAAAAATTATTTTATAAAAGAAAATTTTAGACGATATTATAATTATATATTACTAATTCAAACGAAAATAAAGAAGTCATACCAAACCAAATGTTTTTTGTTAAATAATTGAATCCACAAAAAAATATAAAAATAGAGGTTCCCTTTTTGTATATTTATTTTTGTATATATATATATATATATTGTATATATATTGTATATATATATATATATATTGTATATATATTGTATATATATATATATTGTATGTATATATATTGTATATATATAATATAATATGACGTATGTATTTATTACAAAATTACTCGTTACTAATCACGATTATTATAAGAATATTAAACTTTCCATATATTTAACTATCGTATGATTGATTGAAAAAATTATTAATAACAAGCTGTAAATCTAATTACATACATGTGAAGTCAAATGAATTGTACCATAAAAAAACACGGTGATTTTCTAATTTTTAGTACATTCAATGTGTGTATATATTCTTTATATATTATATTTAAAAAAAACAAATAATCTGCATTTGTTTATTTCATAATGATAAACATTAATATCATAAATAATTATTTGAGTATCACTTAGTGATAATAAAGCATTGTTTTACAATTCTTGCAAAGTTAATTTCTTTTCATGTTATATATATATTTTTCAAACATACAAAATAGTGTTGAGTGCTGATTATTTTACCAATTCGGTATAAAGATAAATCGTATAAAAATAGACCAGTTCTTATATTTTGGTTTATTTCACAGTCAAAATAAAATTAATTTTAATAGATAATAAATTACTATTTCCAAAGAAAATTCATAATAATGGGAAAAGTAAAATAATTGTACTATTCTCAATTTTTATCGCTATTATATTCTTTTACAATATGTATAAATAATGCAAAGTAGAAATCTAATTATTCCTACATAACAAAGTATAAAAATAATTTATGCATATTTTAAATGCAAATTTTATATGTGCTTAAAGACCTTTTCCAATACTTTCTGTTCGAGACACTATCAAAGAGACAGCACGATACTATGATTGATATCCATCATTTTTATTTCAAATTTTTAATGACTATCGCGTAGGCTAACTGAATATAAGAGTGTGAATATATGTAATGCTTGAAAAATATTATGGTAGGATATTTTGCAACTAAATATTTATGAAATTTAACATGAACTTTGCATAAGGAATTTGATTGAATCATTTTAATATTACAAAAATGCAAAGAAAATAACTGAAACATGTACAAACGAATATGTCTATAAAAGTGATAAAAATACTTAAAAAGTATGAAAAGGAAATACAGACATCTATTTTAATTGAACTTATAAACAATTGTAATATAAAAGATACTTTGATCAGTATAATATTAAAATATTCTAGTAAAAAGTGAATATGAATAAATTGGGAATATTTCTCAATAATATATGTTGTGAAAGATAAAAACATATATAATTATTTTAAATAATCTATATATGCCGATATAAATGTATTAATTGCCAAGAAATTTTATATTTTATAAGGTACACTAAAATATATATGTTAAAACACAAAATTTTACATCATTATACGAATTAAAATAAGCTATTTATTAATTTATCAGAGCATAAAAGAATTGCGGACAACTGCTCAGTTCATATTTGCATTTCAATAAAAACATTTGTAAAAACATGTAAAATTTTTGTCAATATTCAATAAATAAAATAAAATCATAGTATAGATTCTTTTAATTATTCATTTATTATTTATCGTTATTATGAGATAATTATACTTTTAGATATTAATTAAAACGTTAATAAAATGTTCTTCTATCACATTATAATAAAATGCGAGAACAAGGTGTTTGAATTCTGAACTATTTATATAAACTGGGATTCCGACAACCAATATATTCCATTGATGATAGTAATATGATGAGTTTTAATCTATTTGTAATGTATCATAAGGCATATAATAAATATTTCCATGAGTATCTAGGAATATGAGTCTTTAATATTTTTAACCAACAAAATAAAGGGGATACAATTTACTTGCAATTATATTCTACAAGTAAGCAGTTCATTAGAATAACACAGGATTATATGTAAAAATGTTTTCTATGGATATTTTCTCTAACTATCTTTTAGCTTTTACACTTGTAAATTGGATAAACATCATCATGTATATAAGTTAAATAATAATACATAAATAATTAATAAAGTTGAAGACACCCAATGACAAATATTTCTTTGTCCTAGAATTTGTACTTTTAAATCTATTTATATGTTGCATCCATAATTTATAGATTTGTAAAAATACAAATTTATTCATAAATTCATGCTTTAATATTATGAAGTAATACTATAATAATAGAAATGAGGGAATGGAACCTAAAATATGAAGTCTTTTTTAATTGACACATAAATAATAAAAATAATAATATTATTATAATCTTCTTATTGTTATAAAGATAAAAAAGCAATTTATCTTAATTGTATTTTTAATGTTTTAGCAGGTTACATAGCTTTAGTATTTGCAAATAAATAATTGTTAAATATTATTTTTATTTTTTAAATTAAATTATTAAAATTAAATTAATTGTTATAATTAAATTATTCATTGTAATAATTAGTATTCATTAAAAGAATATATTAGTAAAGTATGTTTAAAACAACACTTTGTTACTACTCATTTCAAATAAAATTGATTCTGATTCATTTATACCATTAGTTACCATTTTAGAAAAATAGTTTGTACTAAATATTCGATTAGAGATGTAATAAACTTTCATATTTTAATGAAAAATAAGGCAGGTATTTTCAGTTTTATGAAAAAATTATTAGTGTAGAACGAATTAAAGAAAAAGTACACTCTGCAATGTAGGAGTTATTCTTGGAACGTCGTCGTCTTAACCATAAATATTAATAATTAAAACTAACAATAAATAAAATTAGATTGTTATATTATTTATATACTAAGCCAAGCATCTTTTTCGAATTCTGAAAAAAAATATTATTAATATTTCTCTCTCTCTCTCTCTCTCTCTCTATATATATATATATATATATATATATATATATATATATATATATGTTTGTATATCGTTAAAATATTCATAGAAAGAGAATATTAAGCGATGCCAACAAAGATGAAATATAGTCTAAAACTAAAGAGTAGTCTGATCGAATCAAGTCAGTATGAAATTAATAGGCAGGAAAAAATTAAATGAAAAAGAAGTGGTTGGACCCCCCTTTATTTTAAAATGAATACAATCATGTTAATATAAAAAGAGAAGATAAAAAAGTTTAAAGTCTTTATAAAACAAACGTTTTATATCTTTCTCTATTATGTATATACATTACATTGCGTCATGTATTTATGAATTTATATGACTTTTCATATTATATTTCATTTACATTTCATTTAAATTTTGTGTTTATATTGATAATAAAATTATTTAATATATAGATTACATAAAATAAATTATATTATTATTATATAAAATAAGTAAATAGATATTACTCAATATTTAAAATGATAAAACATTAGTATTCCTGTTGTTCCAATAGATTATTCTAAAGTATGTGTACCGAAAAGTCAAAGGTAGTAAAATTATTTAAAAAATTGTCTCGAAAATCTACGTATCGAATAATGGTTGAGACTATTTAGGCAATTAATTATGCATAAGATTCCAAAATTTTAATTAAGTTTAAACTTTTCTATATGATAAAAAACTATACGACAACATTGTATTTGAAAAATTAAATTGAAAAATAAGACAAGTTTAAAGATAAAGTAAGAAGTATAAACGGGTGTATTTGAAAGAAGTCATTATTTACTCATGGTAAGTTGATTTGTTAATGAACCTAGACAACGACGTTCCTAGCTGGCTTTAGTGACTCGCATAAATGCATAGATGTCCATGTGATAGGGACTCACCAATCCTCTTGACTCCAACATCCTGATTGAAGGAGACGCTACGTTCGATTGCATTTCGTCTTCCTCCTGTTCCTTTTTTTCCAAAACTGCAAAATTTTCCAAGATCTGACCCAACTCTGACGAATTTATGCGATGAATCTTGAACATCCTTGTTCTCTTGTGTGCTACTAACGTTTTTCATAACAGCTTGATAATCCTAAGACTATCAGTTATTCGATAACTTATTTAGTATTTTTTTGTTTCTGCTTTTTTACTTTGCTTTGCCTTTTTTATAGTATTTTGATTGTCAATCCTTTACATCTCTTAATTGCTGAAACCTCTGCTCATCTCCTCTTGTCTCTGGCGATTCAGCTATCCCGGAACTGTGACAATCATGTCGAAAATGCACTGTTTTATGATCAAATACTTATTCTTATACAAATTACGTGCAGTATATATCAACTAATTAACTTTACTAAATAAAACAACTTACCAATGAATAAAACAAAAATAAAATTTTATTAAATTGCATTATATTTCAATATTAAATTTTTTAAGAAAAATAATTATTTTTTCATTAAATATAATTAATAATCAATTTAATACTAGTAAAATATTATAAATTTTTACTTTTGCATAAATAATATCACTAATAGACAATTTATTCACTAATTTCTGGATATTTATTTTTTGTAGAAATTCATAATATCAACACAAATAATTTTTTGTTTATTTAATCATTTTTCATTTTTTTTTAATATACAAAAGTACATTTTTACTAATCAGTTTTCTTGGAAATTCTTGTCTGCATAAAAATTTCGAATCTTGACATTTGTTTATAATAATTTGTTTTAATTAATACTTTTAGTGAAAGAATTTCAAACGATTGATTTAACTTATTGTTTTATTCATTACAATAATTACTTTATTATAATTGCTATTTGTAATTTGTATATCTTCTAACTTTATTAAAATTGTATACGCATATGTAAAGTTACAGTCATAAAAAAGATTTTTTCATAAAGTATATTATGTCTGGGATCATATTATTGACAAAAAAAAGTTATAATAAAATATAAATATAATTATAATTAAAATAAATATAAAAATATTTATAATAATAAATATTGCTTATTAATATCGATTATAAATGAAATAATGAATAGTACTTCTGCACATTAATTATAGTTCATTTATATTTTTCTTAATTATTTTCAATACAGGCAACACTGGGATTGGGTAAAAATTGTATAATACGTAATCTATTATAAATTTTTGGATTTTTTTTTTATTTAAATAATAATTCATCATTTTGATACAATCTTTCAAGTTCTAAATCAATTAAAAATATTTAACAATTATTTGAAAATTAGAAAATTCTTAAATAATTTTTAATTATCATATTATTTATTATAATGGTATAATATTAAAAAAAAAAGAAACATATTTTAATATATTTTTATCAAGTTCTGTTTTTACTCCCAACTCTATGTGTAGACAAATTTTTTAAGTTTATAAAATATCTAGCTATAAGTTTAATCAACGTGATAGAACTATAAAAACTAATTTCACTATATGATATCTATCTCTAACAAAAATATATTAACATTGATTTATGTGATAAATATAAATTGTGTAATTATTATCTTAGCAGTTCGTTGAAACACTTTTAATACTTGAATAAATTATATGAACTAAATTATTTAAATCATTTATATTTAAGTGAAATTTTCAAAAAACAATAATTGACTATTATAATAGTTCACAATGTTATCCAGTGTAAGAATTACTATATTTGTATGTTATCATTTGCTAATGAAAAAATAAAATAATTATGCAATGTTATTTATAAGAAATATTAAATAAACAATAAAATTAAAGAGTTTTTCATAACTCTTACTTTTTATTACATATATTAATACCTATATATTACAACGTAAATTACATTAATCTATATTTTATCTATTACCCAATATTACAAAAAGATAAAGAATTTATCTAATAATGGTAACAATATAATTACAATTTAAAATTCAAATATAAAATATGATTTATAATTAAAATCTAATCTAAAATCTGTCTTCGTAAAATAATGTTAAAGTATGCATCTGTCCTTTACTCCCCCACTTTCTCTCTCTCTCCATCTTTCACTCTCTCTCTTTAATTTTTACTTTTTTTTTCTCTAAATTCTTAATTATAAAGCTCCTATTTTTCTTCTTTTTAATTTTATATACGTAACAAAATTCTAGACCTACTGAATTCATAAAACGCCACTGAAGATTTTAGTATAAATATTAGTGATTAAATAAAAATGACGAATACCTTGATTTCATTAGCAACGAACTGCCTTAAGTAAAAGCTACATAAAATTTATAATACATATAATATATTTATTAAATTTTACGATATTCAATTCATTTTGTTTTCCATATAATTATAAATGTTACAAATATAAAAATTTTAAATGTATGCTAATAATCATTATGTATAATCAATAAATCATATTTTAAACCACAAAAATATTATTATAATAAGAAAAATTTATTTTTATTTAAATTATATTGGAAATATAATATTTAGATATATTTGTAAATCGATTATTGCAATCGATTAATATTTAAATAATGATTAAACAATAAGAAATTATATATATTAATAAAAATAATAATAAATATTCGTTGACAATAAATTTGTTATGTATTTGTAATTTTAACTTAGTCTTTTATGTATTTAATTTAATTTAGTAGTATATTATTTATCCCGAAGCTCTATTTTTGCATATCATAATTTAAGATATAATGTTTCAATTTTTTTAAATAAATGCTAATAATATTAATAAATGCTTCGATGTTAAAAATTAGGATTTATATTTTTTAGAATATTGTTTCTATAACAAAGACATAAATAGAAATGAATAATACTTGTTTTTACTGTATTTCGAATTATATAAATATATTTCTAGTTTAAAAATAAAAATTAATAATATTTTTTAGATTACTTATTTTAAGACCGTATACACTATTTTAAGGGACTCTAAGTTAGCAATAATATTTTATAGTAACTAAATAAGAAGAAACGAAACTACAAAATAAATTTAGAATATAGAGAATATGAAATCTTCCATTATAAATACTAGAGAATATGTATGATTTTTCCTTTTCAATTGTAATGCTGTTATTCAGAGTTTAATGGTGCTAAAATGAACTTTTATTTATATGTACGATCAAAGATATTATAAAAATAAAATAATAAAATCTTATCAATAAAAAAATTCAATAAAGAATTGTATTTTCTAACATTGTGATATTACAATAGATCATAGAAAATATAGAAAATAAAAGAATTTGTAATAATTAAAAATTAGCTGACAATGATTAAAGTGAATAACTGAGTATTCTACAATGAATAGAATATCTGCAAAATAGTTTGAAAAAGTGTTAAATTAGTGTTAATGAGATGTAAATAAATCTGATATAAGATTGAAGTATTAAATAAAAATCGAAAGAAATATAAGCAATTTATCACATATTTTTCATAGAAATAAAAATAATATTTTTATTAGAAACTAAAATGTGAAACAAAATATTTTACATTTTTAATGTATGTAATTCAACAAAACTGCAATTAAACATACTTATAGTAAGAATAAAATAATAGTAATTCAAATGCAAAAAAAAGTTCATCTTCTATTTATATTATTCAACTATTTAATAATAATTAACAGCTCTATAATATTTACGAATGAAAACCAATCTTATCTTTTAAAGTAATTTATAAGAAAATTAATTATGGATGAAAAATTTGCTAGTCACATTAAAAAAAAAAGTGTAATGAATTATCTAATATGCTTAAAACTACCTGTTATTTATTCACTAAATGTATATAAAGAAAAAAATAATTAATATATTTCCAGGGAAAATAAATTTTTAGTCAATATTAGTATTTGAAATGAAAAATCTATTTAATATAGTACGGAATCATTAATCCTGATTGGAGAATATTAAATTGCTAATAATTAAAATAGAATTAACGGTAGCAGTTTAACGTAAAAGATCTTATCAACACCGAACGACGTTTATAGAGTTAAATTAATAAAATAATTATGAATAAAATATGAACGTTTATAAAATGGAAATATAATATTGCTAGTTAATCAAGTGGATAGTTTCATTCATTCATATGATTTGTGAAACATACATAGTCCGCATTAGTTCTATATATAAAATGAAATATTTAAAAATGTATTTAGTAAGAAATTTTATAGTCAAAAGTTCTATTAATTAAGGATTAATAAATGTAATATAAATATAACATCTGAACAACTAATAAAATTATAAATTATAAATTATATAATATAAATTATACTGAAAATCTAAAATTAGTTAAGAGGAAATTTATAATTTTATTCATTATAATATAATTATTATTATATATAAATTATTATATAAAATTCTGCTTGATAAATATTACTGTACGATAAAGTATCAAAAACTCTTATTACACTTATAATCACTTATATTCACTATAATATATAATCACTTATAATTCACTTATAATCTTCAATGTTAATAATATCGTAGTAATTATTGATGTTGCGACAGTAAATGAAATTCATTTATATCTTATTATTTTATTAAAGACAATATCAATAAAGGTAATAGATTTATTTTATTTACTTTTATTACCTATATTCTTACATAATTTTAAACTATTTGCTATAAAACATTATCAGGAAAAAAAATCTTTATGCAACTATTATACAGTCATATATAACAATATAACAAAAATGTAACATTAAAAATAATTGAATCTTTATAGACGTTTACTACAATGATTTATTGGAATAATTCTTATTTATCTAATTGATATTTCAATAATATTTTAATTTTACACTATAAATTTGATGGTTCATTTGTTTTTTATAAACAATTTTAAAATCATTTTTAAATTGTTATTGAATATATTGCAAAAAAGTTATAAAATATTGAAATTGGAGTGAATTGGCGAATTCTAATATCTTGTAAGAATGAAATTTTAAATATTTATCATATTGAATGAACATTAATTTTATACCAAAGCTTCTGTTACCGATGGCAGATTATTGAAAATATGAATTTTATCCATTTTTAAAAGTTTCTATAAATTTGTAAATAATTTGAAAGAAAGATAATAACATTAAATGCATATATCTGTATTTGTATACGAGAGTTAAGAAATTAGGATTTAATGAAAGGAAGGATATATTTTTACTCGTCAATTAAAACTTATTAATTTAGTTTCATAAAATATTGCTGACATTTATTTAGATTTTATTCTTGTTGTCTGTGTAATTGTTTATAAAATTAATAACAAATGAGAAATAAAGCAATAACATAAAAATAGC